GGCACTGGGACTGGAACTTGCACGATTCGGGGCATGGGATTTCTGTGCTGGGTTTGCCTCAGTTCTGCTGGGTTTTGCGGCACTGGTGGTGGGTGCCTTCGACGGCCTCGTGCTGCGTTAAATGGAGACCACAAAATGCAGCGCATCGCAGCACTAATTAAGTTAAACCCAAAGCCCAGAGCCCAGAGCCCAGACACAAGCAAACAGCTACAACAGCCGCATACACATGGAGAAAGGGGCACGTACGTGATAGTGGCTCAATAATTAACTGAATGGCAGAAGTGCAGCAAGCAGCACGCACTCCAAGGCAGCACTCACACATTTGCAATATTTGCTTAAACAAATGTCTCTGGAACGGAGCGGGCATTGCACTTGAACTGGTTTCGGCTTGCACATTTTTACGACTTAACGCAACTAATTCCCAGATTGCAGATTGTTACACACACACACACACACACAGAGGCAGACAGAGGGACAGACAAATTGAGTTACATTTCGGCAAAGTCTTAAACTGAAGAGTTAAGGCCCGAAAAAAAAAAACAAAAAAAAAGGCGTTATTTTAATTGCCAGCAACAGTCCGTTCCTGCCTCCACAGTGCCACTCCTTCCCGCTTCAAGTATCCCGGCAAAGTGGCAGACAAACATTTTTGGCCCACATTTTGAGGAAATTCCAAAAATAATTTTCCACTCCTCCGCCGCTGCCAATTCGCTTCCATTGTTTGCATTGCTCTCCGTTTTCACTGAAGCGGGAAGGGCATGGCGGAGACTGCAGCATATATTTTTTTATATGTTTTTTAGAATTGCATTAAATGTGAATAAAAAGTGGATCATAATGAAAATCCTCGCTGCATGTACTCGAAAGTATTTTATGCATTGCAAATATTTGAAAGCCATTCCAATGGCACACACAAAATCTGCATAATTCCCCGGCGTATGTATAAAATAAGAAAAAAAGGGAACAGCTACGACAACAACAGAATGACAACCGCATTCAATGGACAAACATGGCAGGGATTGGGATTCAATGCTGGATCTATTCCTATATCGCAAAACAATAAACAGCCACAAAACGATGCCCCAGCAACAATGGTCGTAAAAATGCAAGAGGGTGTGGAGTGTGGGGGGGTTGTGGAGGAAGGGCAAAAACTAAAACAAAGGCAGAAGAGGGGCAGGAGAGTTGGCCGAAAAATATAAATCGCCTGCCAGCTAAGCAAAAGTCAGGGGGACAGCCATAAATAACATAAAAAATATATTATCATGCGACCAGAACTTCAAAATTGGAATAGCCATAGCCCCACGAACCAAACCCCAAAACCTATTGCTATTTATGGGCGTATACATTTGGGAGTGACTGTGTGTGCTACACAAAATTGTGTGTTAACAGGATCCTCGAAAACGGTGGGGGCAGGCGAATGAAAGCTGCTGCTGCAGGGGGCCAAAAGAATATTTTAATACGTGCAATAAAATTAGAACAAAATACGCACTAAAGCCAAATTGAAAAGAAAATCGTTATGGCTGTGAAACACAACAAGATCTACCACCCTTCCCACCACAAACACCACTCCCCTACCCTTCCGCCCCACCACACACACTCCTCTCCGCCACTTTGAGTTCTCGAATGAAAATCCAGTCACCAGAGTCGAGTCAAGAGTGGCAGAGTATAGGGGAAAGGGAACCCAGTTCCAGAACCGATTCAAGCGCGTTAAGCAAAATGTATTTTAGTGTCATAACTCCAGCAGCCACAGATACAGATACAGTTACAGTTACAGATACATATGCACAAACACACATACACACATACAGACGTAAGTATAAGTGCGCTGGCATATCCTTTAGATACGAATCACAGTCGCAAAACTGCGACCAGCAAAAAAAAAAAAAAACACATTTTATATGCTTGTTGTTGGCTTTCGCTGAAGTTTTTGGAGCAAGTTTTGTATTTTTTCCTTTCTTTTATACGATATTTTTACTCGCTTCCACGGGTTTTGTTTCAAAGGGTATTTTGTGGAGATAAAGGGTGTGCTCGTACCTATGGAGAGGTTTAACTATCAGCCATAGATGCAGCTTTTGGATGTCATTGTAGTGATTTGATAGTGGAATAAATGATTGTTGGTCGAATAGAATGGTCTCGTAGATGAAGTATTTTGAGTGGCAGATTCTTCTGTTACTCTTGAGCAATTTATGCAATTTCTTGGGTAATTTTTTGAACATTTTTCAAAGCCACAAAAGAGTCTTTTCCCTCACTGTAGTTTGAGAACAATTTCTGTAATTTTCTAAAGCGAAAAAATACTTTATCATTCACTGTATTTTGAGAGGAATTTGTGTGCCTTTCCACATATTGGAGATGGAAAAGAACTGCTCTAGCAGAGGATATATTTTAGTCGCCACTTAAACATCTCAATGTGGTACTTTTTTTATTGTCATATTTTTTGCTCATGCGAGAGAGTTGAGGAGAAGTGAAAACTTCTGGGGTTCTCCAATAATTTGTTGTAGCCAACTTGTTTTGCATGCCTCTGCCTTTGCCACACACAATAGCCAGCGTGAATGTTAGAGGGCTAACCGAGGGGGGGGAGGGTTGGTTGGTAGCGTACAAAAAAAATCCAAGCGCCATGCCACACACAAAAGGGTTCGTTCGCAGAGGGGGTGAACGGAGACCAGCAGTTTGTGAAATATATTTTTATTGCTATTGCAGACACCCACACAGGCACGCACACACATGCGAGTGTTGGATACACTAACAAGCACAGGCGACTCCTCGGCATTGACTTTCTTTTCTATTTCGCCATTAAAGCGCTAACAACAACAACAACAGTCAGTGGCGGAAATGGCGAAACTGTAGAGCATACTTTTTGTCATATTTCACTGGCTACAACGAGCAGCAGACAAGGAGCAGCAGGACCGACCAGCACTAGAAGCTGCAGCTGTAGCTGGCGGACGGGACAGGATCAGGACACGCATGTTGCTGCGTGTGCGTTGTGCGTTGTGCGAGGATGCGGGCACTTCATAAAAAACACTTTCATTACAACAAACAAGCAACAACAATAACGGGCAGCCCAGAGCTGGAGCATGTGAAGGCGCAGCATTGAACCGTGGAAGAAATTTGCTCCAGGGCACTCAAAAGATAAGCAGAAAGTGCAGACTTCGTGCAAGATTCTTAAGAGAAAACCTCTTAAGCCTTGATTGCATTAGTTTTGATCATCTTTGTGGCAGATTTGATCTGTTTTGATATTCATTCTGTGAGAATTTCTTTGGTTTTCTCTGACATTTATGGTATTCTGGCCACAAGGAAACCTTTCCTCAGTTCGCTCTGCTGCAAGTATTCCGCCCATGGTGCATTCATCTGTTCCTGTTCCTCGCCTCGAACCCACTCCGACTACTTAGTGCTTGGAGGGGCATTATTTCATGTGCTAAAGTCGTTGCGTGTTGTGTTTGCTATTAAAAATGTCAGCGGCCACGGGAGTGTGCGGAGTTCATTTTACAGCTGCCCATGCCACATGCCAGGGAGGGAGGGGGTGGGGCAAAAGTACACGGCTTTCAACACCAAAATGAACTTGTACTGCCATGTTTACGAGCTGATAAAAAACAGTTGACCAACACTTGTGCAAGTGGAAACTGACTTTAACCGAGGGTCAGCAGCAGCAGCAGCAGCAGCAGCAGAAGTGAATATGAGATACTGTGTGGCATGGGGCAAGCGGTTGGCAAGGCAGACTCTCGATTTGGCCTAGTTCTACGTGTGGCCACAGTTAACAGCAGCCTTTGCCAGGCCACAGCCATAAAAAAGCTCTCAGTTTTCAGAGATTATTTTGGCACACTTTTTGGCAGGATTTTGGCTAAAGGATTTTGACTCTCTTTGCAAAGAGCGCGTCAGGCGATTAAGAGAAATGAATGTAGAGAGTGGTGGATGCTCGTGTGTCTGTCTGTTAATCTCTATGTTAATCTGCATAACAATTTATTTGTTAGATTAACAATTTGTAGTTGAAATTTAAGGGCTAAAGATTGGGCTATGCTTAGTCAGCATTCTGCAGTCTTTTTTGCTTTGTTTCTCTCTCCCCTGGCATGGGTTGCACCTGCATTGATTGATGGCTGCGCCCTGCAACAGGTGGGTTTTTGATTGATGTGCCATCAGGAAAAGGGATGTTAGGGGGCATGATGCGGGGTTATTTATGGAGTAATATTAGCGGCAAATTGCTGGCGGATATAAGCTAGATTTGGGTGTTATTTGGTCAAATATTTATCATAGAAACACTAGCAGTTATGTCTATAATTAATGCACATTCCCTGCAACGTAAATAACCCAAATATAAATAGAATTAATCTTCATGGCGCTCAAACTTCACGCTCAAGTAATAAATTGTGTCAGGTCCAGGCATCCAAAAGCAGTTGCAACTTTTAGTACACCCAGAAAACAGCTGAGTTTTAGCACAAGCTGCGCAGGAGAGAGAGCGAGAGCATCGCGAGAGCGCTTGTTAGAGATTTTTGCGCTCTCCCAAAAGCCGAGAGCAGCAGCCGAGAGAGAGAGAGACAGAGCCCAGAGAGTGCGAGAGAGAGTGCCGGAATGCCGCAGGCCAATTTGAAATGTAAACAAGATTAGAAATTTGCCATAAATCGAACTGCAGTTCATTTATAATTCGCAATCCCTAGAGACTTTGGATCAAACTTTGTAGAGGAGATCCCTGGGATGATGCACCTGCAGCACCAACCCTCAGCTTGCCACATTTAACCGGAAACCCAAGCCCAAAAGCTTGCTATAAAAAAACACAGCTTCTGGTGGCAGCTTGCTAAACTTTTAACAGCGCTCTGTTATCCCCAGCAGCCGCCTCAGCCTCATTGTGTCGTGTTTTGGCACCGCATCGTGCCATGTATGCCCTCGGTTACGTCTCGTCTCGTCTCACTCATTGGCGACGAGCGTGTGGCTCGGCTTTTGGGGCACTCGGGGCTGGCAGGCACAGCACAGCACAGCATCAGCATCCGTGCTTGGGTGCTGCTTTGATGCTCGGCTCTCGGCTCTCGGCTCCCGTCCGTGTCACAGTGTGTACCATAAAAGTCGTTTCAGTGAGAGTTTGCGATCCCGCGGGTACGGTCGGAACTAACGGGAATTCCTTATCAGCGTTTTGTACGCGAATTTGTCGCGGGTTAGCTGCGTGCGTGTGTGGCCGTGGTGTGGCAATCATTTTTGCAAAGAAAAGAAAGATCTCCCCCCCCCCCACAAAAATCTGTACAAATCAAAAGCCTTTTCAAATTGATTGATTCGATCGGTACAATTCGTGGGAAAATGTGAAAAAAAAACGAACGGAGAACCCACAGAAAATCCCTAAAACAGAAACGCGTGCGTTTCCAGTGCGTTTCAAGTGCGTTTTTAGTCGCGTCAGTGTCATCGTTGTCGCTGTAGCAGCAGCAGCAGCCCACACACAAATTGTTATTGCAATGTAAGCGTAAATTCTTCGTGTTTTGTTGTTATTTTGCAATTTGCTGTCGCTGTCATTGTTGCTGCCTCATAGAGTATCCAAAATTGCGCAAATCAAAGCATTCAAGATCCCCCACTGCGATGATCCCCCGGACAACAGACTACAAAACGGCAAAAAGCGTCGTCTCTGCCTTCAATGAAAGTCAATTTTCCAGCTGCGGCACTGACGGTCGCTCGTTCAGCGGCGATTGAAAAGCGCACGAAATCTGTGAATGGCGTCGCTTGGATTACTCTGCGTTGTTGCTGGATTCCTGGTGTGTGGGTGTGGATTCGTTCTCTCTCTCTCTCTCTGTGTGTGTGTGTGTATGTGCCGGTAAAGCAGTTGAAGCGATTTCTATGCCCAGCTGCGCTTTTTATGCACTGCTTGGTGTCTGGCAAAGGGGTGCGGCATGGTGCAGGTGCTATGATTTAAAGTAGATGTGCAAAAGATATTCTAGAGAATAAATATTTAGCCTGCTGCAGGGTATCCACTCGTTTGGCTCACAAGACCCAGTCTAGAATTTTTTGGGTTTTTTTTTCGTTGCTTCTGCTCATGGAAATTGCACAAAAACATTTGCTATTGCTGGGCATTTTGGGTTGGTATTTTGTATTATTTTCTACGGTTGCTGCCTCGCCTGTGCTGTGTGTGGCAAATGCCATCATATTTCATGCCATGCCACACATAAGTGCAAAATTGCTTGCACCCTGACGTCTAGGGGGGAGCTGAGCAGGGAGGCAGTGGCACTGTTAGAATGAAATACGAACTATCAACTAATGGGAAATGTTACCCAACCCAACATCCACTCAACACCCAACCACCAGCTCCCTCTCTCTCCTCTATCTGTCGAGGAGAATATACATTTGTTTAAATTGCTAAATTGCTGAAGTGTGCGTGTAATTTCATTACACACTGTCCGTCCGTCCGTCTGTCCGTCCGTCCCTCTGCCACTCGAGAAGGCTGCCACTTCTGCTGGAGAATGCTCTTGAGCTGCAGGCGGTCGGACATTGGAACTGATTAAGATGAAGTGGTGGGTCAGGGGGGGGCCCAACTACAATTGTCTGCCATCAACAGGAGGTGCAAAATCTGTGAATGCGAATGAATGCGAGATGAATAATCAGATTAGGAATGCAAATTGAATGGAAATTTATTTGATATTCGAGTCAAATTCAAGGGGGAAATTGTTGTTATGCTCGAGAAATTGTGTGTGCGCTCCTCTACAAATTCGGATAAGTGCTTGTTGTTGGCTGGGCAGGCGATTTAAGTGGAGAGAAACTAGAGCACAAGGTCAGGGAAAGTATTGAGTAATTCCATGGTAGATATGCACATGGATTTCCTGTACAAAAATAGAGTCTTGCGACTGTTATAGTACGCTGAAAAAGTGGCTAACATTTCTTGTATTTGATTTAATATTAATTTTAATTAAGGATTATTCGAAGCAAAACCAACTTCTCTGTTCGCTTAAGCCGTGAAATACATTAATTCCGTACAGAAATTGCATTGAATCCCAGCCCTAGGGCAACAACATTCAACAGTTTAGCATAATTGTGTACATGTTCCACAGTGCATAGGAAATGATTCGTTAAGCGCTCCATTTAAGCTCTTTATTTGTGCAATTTCCCAGCAAATTAATTTCCCAGCATGCTCCGCTGCAGGCATTTTGTTGCTTTAATTAATTATGAAATTCGAAAACAATTACAAAAACTATAAAGAACTATAAAAAACTCAAACAAAAGCAATTTAGCAACGAAATGCGATATACTGCAGCAAGTAAACTAAACCATTTGGGGGCAACAAACAAGTGTGCAACATAAAGCATTTGTGTGAGTGTTTTAGAGTGTGCAAAGGTCATGCCCAGCAGCAGTCTGCTGTCGAGTGATAAGAGTGTTAAGCGTTGTGTCACATGCAAGTGGCATGATGAACCCTTAAAGCAGTGCCAAGTGTGCCCCATGCACCACACAAAATTAGCATCCAACAGCTGGCAGGACGCTGACGCTGACGCTGAAGCTGACGATGGCGCCAAGTGTGGAACGCTCTGATTGCTGGCCACATTCACTTCCACTCTTCCTCTGTGGGTCTACCCCTGTGGCAGTATTTTTTTAGTATGCATAAAAATGTACTTGAACATCCAGCCATGCATGCCCGTTTTTTATAGGCTCACTTAGCGGCCATAAACCGCAGCAAGAAGCGGAGGCAGCAGCAGGTGTGGCAGGAGTGTGTTACCTCTGCTCTGAATCCCTCAAGGACTTGGCCTGCCCGTGCATCGCCCTTCGACATGCCCATAATATGCCATAATAATATTGTAACTCTTTGCACTTCAAATTGCATTTTAATGCAAACACACACACTTCACTTCATTACATTACGACGAGGACCAGCAAGGCGAAGGGAAGCTTGCATGTCGGAAATGGAAAAGAGTCGACACACTTTGCAGCAGCAGCTGCAGCCGGAAAACATGCCACACACACACACACACACACACACTGACAGATATTTTGCTGAGTTTGCAAGTTTGTAAATTTGTAAATTGAAGTGCAGATGCCGATCGTCGTCGTCGTGCTGGTTGCATGCCTCAATGGCAAAAACTGGCACAATGTGTGGCAGCCAGTGGGTTACGTATACGCAGGGTCGGGTCGGGTCGGGTCTGCTCTGGGCTGGCATTAGCTAATGTGTGTCACATTTTATTGGCTGCACATTTTCCTTTTTTTGCCCGACTCTAAACTGATTTGCGCAAAAGTTTTGGCAGCAAAGTAAATGCATTTTCGCTGTATGTGTGTGTGGCGGACGCATTAAAGATGCCCTCACGGGAATCGAGACGCCAATTCAATCCAATCCAATCCAATCCAATACAATCCAATGGTTGCCAAAACTAAAAGTTCAACAATGATTGTGTTATCAGTTGATGGCATTTATGTTGATGATTCAAGAGCAGATTCGAGTGCTTCAAAATTGTTTCCATTTTCCAAGAGCTTAAACCAGCAATGAAGGTGCACACGAAATGTTCGCATTTAATCGAGAAACTCTTTCACACATTTATTTCGCATATTTTTCAATCAAGCTTTCACCATTGCGCCGTGATTCAATTATGGACACACACACACACACACACACACACACATGCACTCTATATATATTTGCAAATATTTTTCGCATATATTTCTAGATTAGATCGAAATATTTGCACTGGTGAATATATTTTTTTGGGCTTTTGTTTCATTGAAATTGAATTTTGTTATTTTTATTTGGCAAAAAAGCGTTTCACGTTTCCATTTTCGGCACTCCGCTTTGGTTTATTGGCAATGGCAGAACCATTGGGCCAGTCAATTTATTAACGACAATCGACACTCGACACCAGGTGAGAGAGAGAGAGAGAGTCGAAAAATATGATTAAGTGCCGAGAGGCACTCTGGATCGGTCGTGGGTGCATGACCTGTGCCACAATTTCATATTTACGACTGTGGCTCACCAATATAAAAATCTATACACAAAAATCTACACAAAAATAAATGTAAAACACACACGAAAAACTTGCACGAAATAAAATTAGTAGTGCGGTGGCTAGCAGCGATGAGTCCAACGATAAAGAGTGGTGCAGAGGGCGCCCAGGAGCAAGTCAATATATCATAAAAGCCAGTCGATGCCTGCCTGCCTGCCTGCCTGCCACTGCCAGTGTAGTCGTCCTTGTCGTAGTCTAGAAACAGTTTCCGATTTCCGTTTTCCTGTTTATCGTTTATTGAGTTTTTCTTTGGCTTCGCTACATAAAAGTGAAAGCAGACGCCAGCAGATGGGAAAGACAAGAAAAAAGCAACACAAAATCCATCCAAAAACAGAGAGAGAAGTTCGCACTCGTTAGGGCCCCGACTACGACCCATTTCTACATCCATTTCCATGGCCATTTCTGGGTTGCCATCATCGTCAGTCAGCGTCGACCTCGTCATATTGAACTCTGATGGTGGCACGTTCCTCTGGGCCGCATGCCTCCTGCCTCCTGCCTCGCTCTTTAAAGATCTACACGCGCGCGCGAGCGTAGGATACTTTGCCACGGCCTGCTGCTGCTGCTGCTGCTGCTGCTGCTGCTGCAGCCTGGCATCTGCCAGCTTCCCATCGTTCTTGTCCTGCCAGTTGTTAGTCATTTATATGGGGCCACATAAATTATAACCAAAATATGTACGCAGGCGGCATTCCAAATGCCGATTTCTCACTGCTTTCCGCTTAGTGGATGTTATAAATAATCTTTAATTAAAAGAAGAGCAACCCCCTGGAATATGTTTTAAAATATTAAGGTGTGCACGTGTAGGAGTACGTGACGCTGCCTGTGCGCGGAAATGGCCTCTGATTTGTAGCTGTCAAAATGTGAGACGCCCCGCCAGAAGTTCCTTAATTAGGTTTTTCGGCGACATTTACTCATGTGTGTGTGTGCTGGCTGCTTATTTTTGTTCAATTTAAGCAACAGCTCACATAAAGCCCTGAACTCTGACAGCCTCAACTCTAAACTCTTTGTAGAAATGTTCCAAACAAAAACTATGCCCATCTCCGCTACGTTAACTATGACAATACTTTATGTTAATATCAATTATCTTAAACAAAATAAATCCGCGCCCAACTGTTAGCCAATCAACCGATTTGAAACAAACCAAAAAGGGAGACGTTTTGGACAATCGTTTGGGCATTTGCATTTGGATTCGTAATTGGATTTGCAAAGTACAACATAAATTAAACATTTTATACGCATAAATAACGCGCATTTACAATTGCCATAAATTCATGAGTGAAAACAAACAAATTAACCCAATAAAAGTTGTGCAAAAATCACATAAATTACATTTTGTCTCTGGCTGGCTGTGGCACTAAAAGTGCAATGCGTTTGCTTACAAATTTGCCGAAAAACCGAATATAAAGGCAATTAAATAAATTTCGCACAATAGAATTTTACACCCCCCGCTCCTCCCCGCACACCACACCGCCGAGCAGCAGCAACGACAGCGACAGTAAAACTGCAATTATCTGCCAAAAATGGAATGAAAATGCTCGTTTTATTTTTGGCTTGTTGGTTTGTGTTTGCATTTTGTTTTACTTTATTTATTGACATGTCAACAAATGTTGCATTTGTCTCTATCCCTCTATCCCTCTATCCCTCTACCCCTCTCTCTCTCTCTCTTTGTATCTCGCTCTGTTCTGACCGTATTTCTCTTTCACAGCTGGGCTGAAATAAATTGTAATATGTTGCTCGTGCAGCGAAAAGTGTAGCAAAGGAGTTTTTGCCACACAAAAGGAACTGCAGAGCCCGCACCTGCACCAACGAAGCGTCAGAGCAGCCACTGCCATCCGTTTGCAGATTGCAAAAACCTAGAGAAGCGGCACACAGACATCGTGAGAGCGCAGAGGGGCCATCATGGGCCGGGCCTCGTTGTACTATTGCTGCTGCCTGCTGCTGGTGTGCCTCGTGCTGTCCACGCTAAATGGTCGAGCGGCTGGAGCAACACGTGTTCGTGTCAGCTCCTCCACGACCATGACACGCAACATTGAGGAGGAGAATGGTAAGTAAAACCCCCCAACTGCAGGTACCACCGAGTATGAGTGTCTCTGTGTGTGCCTGTTTCCAGGTCGATTTGAGCGTTGCTTTCATATTGTTATAGACATGCCACTGATTTCGTTAGCTTTTACACATAAACTGATTGTGCCTGGCGGCTGCTGCTGCTGCTGCTGCTGCCAGACCACACCTCAGCCCAAGACCCAAACCCAACCCATTCACTTTGAGCAGTTCTTTACACTCCCATTCCCATCTCTCTCTCTCTTTCTCTCTTTTGCGCTGTAATTTAATTTAAAGTGAAAAGTTTGCCTGCCATTAAGGCCGTGTGGCATGAGTGTGTGTGTGTGTGTGTGCCCCTGACGCAACTTTTATTCAATCAACATAAACTTTATTGTGTGTAAAGAAATTGGGTTGCGTGGATCGACAAAGCGACGCTGCTGCTGCTGCTGCTGCTGCTGCTGCTGCTGCGTTCCTTTTGTCGTTGCATTATCCAAGTAAATGGAATTTTCAGGGTTTTATGCGTGCGGAAATTATGCCGAAAATTGTTATGGATTCGAAGTTCGATTTCGATTACGTTTTCAATGGCAGCAGCAACTGCGACTGAGGCAGAGCTGCTGTCGCTGCTGTCGCTGCTGCCTCGAGGCTGGTCAGAGAAAACTTTTTTTGCTGGCCATCAAATAATAAATATCGGCTAATAAATAAGCGCTCGAAGAGCCCAGGCCAGAGTTCAAGTACGAGAAAAAAGAGGCAGCAAAACTTTTGCAAAAGTAACCAAAAAAGTTGGCCCAGAAGATGGCCAACAATGAGCGCAGAAGTGGAGTGCATTAGCCGGGCTTCAAGCTGCGGTAATCCAGAGAACATTCCACTCTGCTCTGCTCTGCTCTGCTCTGCTCTCTGCCTGTATGTATCCGTCTCAATTAACAGTGCGTATGAGCAATCTGTGCACGGTGGAACGTAAGGACCAGGCCAATGCAGCGGTCCAACGCCTGCGGCCAAGCGGGGGTTCCATATTGTTTCACTCTGCAGTCAAAGTTTGGCCACAGCGTGGGTAGCGGAGGGGAGTGGAGGGGGGGGAGCGTGTTTCTCAAGCTGGAAGGGACTTCATAAATTTAGATTTTATATGTTTTCAATTGAATTTCGTTGTTTCGCCATCAGAAACTTTTCACTTTGGCATTTTCATGTTTTCCCAAGGCAACTTTTGCAGCTCCCGCTGTGGAGCGTGGAGCAGAAGGAGTTGCGAGTCCACCGCTGCTGGACCACTTCCTTTGGAACTCTGCCACTGCTGCTGCTGCTGCTGCTGCTGCTGCTGCTGCTTCTGCTCCCTCTGCTCAGAGGCTTGTGTACTGGCTTCGAAAAGTATTTATCGCATTTCTATGAAAACAACCTACTCAACATTTTGGCCAAAAACTTTGGAATTATGTTTGGCTTGCCGCTGCTGCCACATACAGGCAGAGGCAGAGGCAGCGGCACACTCGCATTCGCATTCGCAGGGCAAAGTTTTCCAGCAGCAGCCTTATAAATGCTTATTTAGAGGCAAAATCTGATGAGTTAAGTTTGAGGCCAGTGTAAACTCCGATTCGGCTGTCCATATCTCAAGTTTCCCAAAGGGATTTAACGCCAGATTTACCGCCAGATCTGTTGGATCTCATGCACCAGCAGGCAGTGAGCCCACAGCGTGGGCCCCACAGTCTGCAGTCTTTGAGTTGGAATCGGAGTTGCTTTAGGCAAAAGCAATTGGTTTGCCTGCTAACTAAGTTGAGTCTCGAAAGGGATAAGATGTAAATGTAGACACTTCAATGCACTGACTCAATTATTTATTTCTTATTCAATACTTCAGAGAGCTTTACTTTATTGTTTGAGCGGGATCAGGGTAGAAGTGGGCTCTTGGGGCATTCAATTCCTTGTCGAAATTTAAACACACTTCTTTATGCTCAAATTTCATAGTTTTTTTGTATATTTTACAGAGAAAATTTACAATTTAATTCAACTTTTTGTGTGCATCAAATATAATTGTTTTGGCATTTTATTTTGCATTAAATTTCCATAAATTGTTCATTACTTTCATTTTGATTTCCTTCTTTAATATTTTTATATGTTTTACAACTTAATTTAACATTAATTGAACTTTAATTTCCTTTCTTTAATGTTTGTTTATTTCTCTTAATTTTCTTGCAGCTTTACTTTTGCTTTTGGCTGGTAAGTCGTTGACCGAATTCTTCTCTTTTTAGAGCCTATTTTTAGCCAGATTATCAACATATTATTGGTGTTTGAGCAGTGGGACAACCCAAACAATTTGCACACCAAATTGACCAGTCCAAAAGGGGGCGTACGACACGCCTCCGCGCCACACACGCACGAATCGAAGCGAATCGAATCGGCTTAGTAACGGGCCAGGGAATGGGATCGGATGGGAGCTGAGCAAAAGCCAAAGTCAAGCATCTCAACTTGAAGGGAAAAAACCAAACAAAAGCATAACGGAAAAAACAGCCAAAACAAGTTTCGGCCTGGTCAAAAGTCGCCGCCAGCCTCCAGTCTCGAGTCTTTGCTGTCGCATGTCCTTATATTTATGTGTGTGAGTGTATCATGTATCGCATGTCTGTGTGCATGTGTGTGTGTGTGTGTGTCTGTGTCCTGTTGTCCAGTAAAAACTTTCGCCTCGATTTTGGCTCTCGAAAATGGTTTGAAAAATCCCAATGCAGCCGCCCCTGACAGCGCGTTGAATGACAAGCAGTGAATGACGACCGCTCCCCGGTCGTTGAGTTTTTCAAGATTTTCCTTGCCTTTTCTTTGGCTTTTCTTTGGGTATCTACTTTCGCTGTCCCCTGTCCTCTGCCTGACATGGAGTAGCCTACTTCTGTTTTCTTCTTCAAAGGCACAGGAAACCAGCGGATGGCTCACTCCATTTGCTGTGTGACTTTTTGGCCCCCGTTTTCGACCCATTTTTGGTGGCTTTTCTTTCTGCTGCTCTGCTGTGTTTGCCTTAGGGAGGGGGGGAAGTATAGAAAATGCGTGGCCATACTTCATTCATTTCATGGCTTTGCAGATGGGACATTTATCATCGTGGGCCCTCGAGTGCGTCACAAAAAGGCAGAGCAAGCGAGCGCCATCAGTCCTTGTGATTTTTCTACTATGTTTTTGTACATTTTTTCCTGTGCAAAAACAACAGACGAAAAACTGGGGGGGCCAACCGCAAAATGTTAAATACAAATTCATTTCAATTGCGTTTGCTTTCTCGCTGTGTAGCCGCCTGCTCTCTGCTCTCTGCTCTCCCTCTATTTGTGTACTTTTCCCACTCTCCATTCTCACTGGCTATCTGCCATCTCCTTTATTCATGGCACTTTTTGCCCCTCTTAACGCTCGTGTTATTTTTGTATATGAATTTCTGCGGTTACATTGAATATTAAGGAGCCAAAAGGAGAGCGGCGCTGGGTCAGAAAAGTGGAAAATTGTAAGCCTACTTGAAATTTATTTGCACTCATTACACTCGACAGTTCAGCGAGTGAGAGTGAGTGCTGCGGGAATTGTTTTTGGCTTGCAGGTTAAGCTGCTTCCATGGTGGGTTTTTGGCTGCGGTGCTGGGCTGCGGATTGTGTATGTGATATGTCCAATTGGTTAACAGACAGACGGACACACTAATGAGCAAATAAAGCTTAGCGGCCCAATACTAATTGTGTGCCAGAGAGAGCCACGAGAATGTCCAGCCCTGACTTGTGGGATTTTCCATGCAAAATATATCAACTTGGAAAAATCAAACAACTTTAGTCTGTCCTCTCCCCTCTCTCTCTCTCTGTCACGGGGTGGACAACAACTCTATTGTCGTTGGCTGCCACTGACTGACTGACAACTATTATGCTTTGTTAATCGGCTTAGCATTGCTCAGTGTCTGCCATTTCTTTGCTTTGCCCAAAAGATGTTGCCATGTGGTTGGTTGGTTGGTTGGTTGCTTGGTTGTGGCATGCCAGCAGATTGTCATTTGGCCTTCGTTTCCGAGCATTTCTGATTGTTCATTTGCCACACACACGCGCACCAGCTAAAAACAGAGAGACCGCAGACGAGGCGAGGCCCATCCTTACTTCCTTACTTCCTTACTTCCTTCCTTCCACCTGTGCTGGCAGAGGCTTTTGTCTTTGCAGCCTCTGTCTCTGCTACGTTGGGGCGGCGGCTGACAGCTTAAGACTTGGGCAAAGGGCTCTACTCCAGCGCCTTGCCATTTGTGGCAAAAAAAAAATTGCTCGGTCCTCGGGCTTTTCTCTTTCGTTAGCATTCCGTGTGGAATTTGATACTTGATTATTTGTTGCTGGCCTCAAGCTCAAGCGTGCATAATATATCAAAGTGGCGTCAACGTCAATGCCAGTTCCTTACCCTCATTTTTGCGATGTTGTATCTCTGGCAGAACGACATGTGTAGACATTTTGTGTTGGCTGGGTCCCTGATTTTAGTTACATTTTAGTGTCTGGCCGCATAATAAATAAATAAACAGTTGGTGGGCCCTCTTGTGGGCCTCTGCATTACATCCTTTCCACCTGCCCCAAGGGGCAACTGCTGTCAGCGCTGCTGCTGCTGCTGCTGCTCTCATTTTGTATGCTAAAGAGGGGGAGTACCGAGAGCGGCCTCCTCTTTAATTCCATTCCCAACATAAAAATCACAAATCTCCCCACACAAGAAAGTTTTTCATTAATCTTTTGGCTTTTGTTGCAAATTGTTGTTGTTGTTGTTGTTGTTGTTATTGTTGCAGCATTGGGATTTGCATATCTAAATTGTTATTGTTGTTGCTGCTGCTTATTTGAGCTGTGGGTCAAGCAGGGACAAGCCAGGGAACTGGTCTGAACTGGGGCCAAAGTCAAATATTTAAATACTTAAACAAAGTTTCCGGCTCTAAATCAAAAGATATTCGAAATCTGGAGCATGGCCAGCGATTTTCTTGGGTTTTTCTTGCAATTAGCTTTGTTTTGCGATGTTAAAGGCTCTCTTTAATCCGCTCTTAAAGGATGCTGCCGCCTCAAATGAAGGTGCCACATGTCCTGTATGCTCTGGCTTTATTTTTCTCTCCTTGCAAAAGACCAACAAACAGAACAGGAAGTTTATGTTTAACAACTTTAAGCACACACAAAAGCAGTGCCGAAACTACTCCCCAAAAGACACACACACATGAGGGCGGGTTGCACTGGCATCCGGCACCAAAAAGAAGATATTACGAAAATTAAAAAATTGACAAACAAAAAACTTTTCATATAAAATACAAGGAAGCGGCAGAGGCAGAGGCAGCCATGAAAAACTTTACCCCCCGCCGGAAAATATATTTGTGTTGCATTTCAAGTTTTTCTGATAGCCAAATGCAGTAAAATCAACGCAGAAAGTTTTACAATAAATTTATATTTATGCTAAATAAGCAAGCGGTGCGGAGGGGGAGGGGGAGGAATTTCTGTGTTTTATCGAAGCAAAACATAAATGGGGAATATTGATTCCATGGAAAGCGCCGTGCAGGTGCGGCAAGGGCTGGCAATTAGTGTGTGGCAAGCCGTTGAGACACACACACTTAGAGCCAGTCCTAGCTGGGGACAGTAACTGGCAAAACCCTAAGGGCTTAGTGCCCCAAAGCCACGTGCAGCCAGGGCAGCCTCTTGCTTCAGCACATTCATAACAATTTGTCGACAAAGAAGATGTGCAGCCAAAAAGCTCTCCTGCCTGTGTGGCAATTGTTGTGCAACATTTGGAAGCGTAATTTGCATACAAAAACCCAAATTAAAATTTTGACTGAAGGCTCTGATGTGGCAGCAGGAGCTCTCCCTCTCTTTCACTCTCTTTCTGCTTCGCTTCTATGGCCTCCTCCTATGGTCAAGCTTGGGTTCATTACATGGAAGCTGCTGCAATCTGCAGTCGACATTCCTTGCACTTTTCTAATTAGACGAAAGGGAGGGCGGGAGAGAGAGAGTCATAACAGAAAGTTAATTACATTACCCCTTAGCTCCTTCTACAGGGTATGCTCAGTGGCTTTTGGTACCCGCGAGCATATTCGAAATTTGATTAACTTGCGGCGTGGAAGTTGAGTGCTTTCCATTGTGCTGCGAGAGTTTTGAATGCAGATATGCAACCACAGCCAGGATGTGGCAATCATAAACGAACGCGACTTGCCACATGCAGTAGGCAGGGGTTCGGGTAGGTGCCACTTCAAAGCACAATAACAATTTTACAATTCAATTTCGTTTTTATTTCTGCTCCTTGCAAGGAGTGGGTGGGCGCTGTACTAGTACTAGTACTAGTACTAGTAGTAGTTACGCTCCCCTTTTGTTCGTATGCTCTCTCTATTTTATTGCTTCAAATTGTTTGTTGCCATTTCGCGTTTGTGCCGCCCGGCTGCGCATCAGCGACATAGAAGCATTTAACTTTGTGTCGAGCAGGAGCCAAGGAAGAATGTCAGCAGGGGAGAGGGGCAGGGGGGCACAAAATGAAAACATCGCGGAGCAACTAAAACCAACTACACTTAAACAAAAAAAAAGAACACAAAAAACTGGGAAAAAGAATAAAGCGTAGCAGGAAAAAGCTGAAACTAAAACAACGCGGCGACAGCACAAAAGTTGTCAACTCTCTGCTGCCCTCCCTCCATTCTCCCTTTCCATCACTAAGCAGCAGCAGAATGAGTCCCTCGAAATGTGTAAGGAGGAGAAGCAGTGGGTGGCGTGGCGAGGCGTGGCGTGGCTCTAGTTTCCAGCAATTCGAGTTCCATCGAAGCAGTCCAAGTCGAAGTCAAGTTAAGCGCGGCACTACTTTGCAGCATGCCACAAACGAACAGAACAAAAAAGAGAACAGAGAAGAGGACACGGCACAGGACACGGTACACACACAGTGCGGGCAGCTACAAAGAAAAGGGTTTGCCGACAGGCAGAACGAAGTTTAAGATACACTGGCAAAGGGTCACCTAAATGGTTGGACTCTGATAAGCAGCAACAGGCATTCAGGCCTGAGCTGTCACATCGGAATGCCCACTGGCAGCGTATAAACATGACAGCAGGGAGAAAAGTCGATGGGAAAGCGAGCACATTTTCAGCTACAGCTTAGGTCGGACCCAACTTCAGCTTTGGCCTGAACTCCCAGCGGCGACCCAGGGGCCAAATGAAAGTGTAGAAAAATGCAGGCGAATGGCAGGCCAAGAGGTTGTGGGCGTGTCGTGGCGTTTTCCGCCAGTTAAACTCTAAAGT